CCCCCTCACCTCACCCTCCACCTTCCCCCTCACCTCCACCCTCACCTCCACCCTCACCACCCCCTTCATCTCCCCCCTCACCTCCACCCTTTCCTCCACCCTCACCTCCACCTCCCGCCCAACACTGGGCTGGGCCATAGCTTTCCCACAGCCCCAGAGTGGGAAGGAAGGAGACACAATAGCTTCTTTTCTTTCCATGTTCAGACTCAGGTGAGAGGGAAAAGGGCCAAACCGAGCAAGCTCAGTCTCCTGAAGTCACCCTCTGTGTCTCTCCTAACTCCTCAGGGAGGGGCAGAGAGGAGCAGGGGGACAGAAGGGACAAGGCATCTCTCCCTGGAGACCTGGAAATAACAAGAATTGGAGACTAGGGTTCTCCGGATATGCTTCCCACCTCGGGGACCTCACACACACTGTCCCCACAGCCACCAACACTTCCACACTGACCCTGTGCCTACCTGACCCGCCCCTCTGGCACTTAGCTTGGGTCCCTACAGCTCCAAGGAGCCTTCCTGGTTCCCACCGCCTCCTTCCGACCACTCATCATGATTGAAACTGGACACAGAAACTGGGTGCGGTGGCGCACACCTGTATCCCAGTAGCTCAGGAGGCTGAGGAAGGGGGATCACGAGTTCAAATCCAGCCTCAACATCTTAGCAAGGCCTTAGCAACTCAGTGAGGCCCTGTGTCTAAATAAAATATTTTAAAAGGGGCTGGGGATGTGGATCAGTGGTTAAGTGCCCCTGCGTTCAATCCCTGGTACCAAAAGAAGAAGGAGAAGGAGAAGAAAAAGAAAAAGAAAAAGAAAAAGAAAGAAATTGTACATATAATTGGGAAAGCCACCACTTAATGTTTGAGTCCCCATTAAGATGACAGTGCTACGTGGGCAGGGCCCTCGCTGGGCTGTTTTTCCACAGGACCCCCAGGCCACAGCTTTGGGGGACACACATTTCAGCGTTGCTGAGTGACAGTAGGTGAAGTCCTCAACGTGGCGTCCACCCCACCAGCCAGCAGAGGCCAGGTCAGGCAGCTGCGGCAAACACCTCCCGGCCTCAAGGGCCCAGATCAACCAACGTCTGCTTCCCACGGGTGTCGTGGGGTCCTCCCAGGCCTCAGACTCTCCCTCGGGGACTCAGGCTGACGGAGCTGCCACTAGTGGTTCATGGCTTGTCACTGTGGCAGAGGAGAGGACACCAGTGAATGGCACTCGTCTCTTAAAGCCTCAGACCTCACCTGCCCAGGTTCACCTGCACCTCCTCGCCGGAGCCAGCCATGTGCTCACCCCTAAAACCCAGTCCTGCCCAGTGCCCAGGACAACTGGAAATCTTTGCTCTTGTTTGGACCCTCCGTGTCCCCCAAAGGTCTATGTGATAAGGTGTGGTCCCCAGTCTGACACGACAGACACCACAGGGACAGGACAGATGGAAACTTCATGAGGTGGGCCTAGTGGGAGTCTTCAGGTCACTGGGGCCATGGACCGGAAGAGGGTCATGGGACCCTGGTCTCTTGTTTCTCCCTCTTGCTTCCTGGCCATGAGGCGAGCAGCTGGTCTCTGCCGCATGCACACTCTCCGCCATGATGTCCTCCCGGCCACAGGCCTGAGAGCCAAAGGGCCCAGAGACCGTGAGCCCAAACCTCCAAAACTGTGACCCCAAACCCACCTTGTCTCTTGGTAAGTCAGTTCTCTGGGATGTGAGTCACAGTGACAGAAAGCTAACACAGTGTGGAAGTGATATTTGGGGATCTATTGGGTTAAGAATAATTATTATTAAATTTAATGTCACCGGTTCCTTTTTACCGTAGTTAACATGGCTACCAGAAAAATCTAAAACTCACACACATATGAGTTGCCTTTCCAGGTCCCATCAGATTTCTCTCGGGACACCACTGCTCCAGTGCTTCTGATCCTGGCCAGGACGAGGCCTGAGCGTGGCCATGCGCCTGTGGATGAAGTCAGGCGCCCCAGCTGAGAGGGAGGGACAGCGCGGCACCGTGGAATCCCCTCTGCCGAGGCACGGCCCGGCCTCGTGCTTTGCAAAACCTCAGGCCACTCCTCCATGACGAAGCTGCGGCTGCCCCAGCCAGGCTGGGACCCCTCCCTGTTTTCCATGGCAGGCCAGCGGCCCGGCGTGACCTGGTGAGCATCACCTCGGCCACAGCTGAGAAGCGCTCTCGCCTGCGGAGAAGTGTTAATAAATATTTACGGAGCCCTTGGAGGGCACAAATCAACCCCACGGGTGCTGGAACGAGCCGCCCCCGGGACTGGCCGAGGCCCCCGCGCCGCCGCAGGGCCAGCAGCCCACTGACCTGCGCCTGCCCGCGCCAACCCCTGTGGCCCAGCCGGCCGGTTTACAGAAGCCATGAAACAGGACCATCTCTCACTATCGATTTTGTGCTTCTCCCTGTGACCGCCGCCCTGGATAACTCACACTGTATGGATTTTTCTATAAACCCCCAAATTAATATCTGCAGCAGGTGGGAATAGACTGCTGCTGGCCGTGGAGAGCCTCCTGTCCCCCGTCCAGGCTGGGGGCCAGAGGACGCAGTGCCTGTGACCACCCCTCCCGTGCCTGGGACCTCAGGCTGGCGAATGCTTTGCAGGCACAGAGGCTGACCCACTCCTGGGGCAGGGGAGGACCTCTGGTGCTTTCTGTGTGCAGAGGAGGTTGTGCCTATGAGGTCACCCAGGACCCTGCCGTCACTAAGAGACTCTCTCCATGGGAAGGAAGGAACAGTGTCTTTCATTCAGGGCACTTCATAGACTTGGAGGATGAGAAATCACCAGCCAGACCAAGAACTGAGGAACAGCAATCTAAGCAGGAGGGAATAGCATGTGTCAAAGCCCAGAGGCTGGAAATAGTAAGGGGAGGTGGCCGTGGGAATGTGCCCAGCACCTTTCCCCATAGGAAGCAGGAGGATGTGAGGTCTCCTCTTTTGCCCTGAGACCCATTAGGACAGTGGGTGGGAAAGAGGTTATCAGTAGGGAGAGGGAGGATCCAGCCTCGCTGTTTTTCAGCTCCTCTCTTCCGACTTCAGCCATAGAACTATTTTTAAGATCACCCTTTCTTGGATAGGGACCAAGGGGCAAGGCACTGTCCCAGGGAGTGGAGGAGCTGGCGTGAGCAGTAGGAGAGGACCCATGTGGCAAGGTGAGAGGAGCCAGCCAGCAGTGCATGTCCAGCAGGCCAAGCCCTCCAAGGGCCCAAGACTAGCAGGGAGCAGCTCACTGGCCGAAGCGAAGAGATGCCCCCAGATCAGCCACATCCACGTCCTCCTCGCAGCAGACGCCGCTAATCCAACGGTCTTTAATAAAACTGCTAATTGGGCTCGGGAGTCTCCATGGGGCCTGGCCCAGATGGTGGGTTGCTTAGCGGCTCCTGTCCTTCCCACGCCTGGTGCCTCTTCTGCTTCTATGAATTAATTCCACTTGACGGTCCAGGGGACCCAGAGGCGGGCGGCGAGTCTGAGCTGGAGGACCTCCTATCGGGCAGGCGGGAGTCGCTGTGGTCTGGTGTGCACACGTGCCCCTGGGTGCACGTGTGTGGCTGGGTGCACACACTTACTGCCTGAGCAGGACAGGGAGGGCTCAACCTCTGCCACCAGCCACCTGGGCTCCGTCACAGATCCCTGCACTGTCACCCCACTTGCCTGCTTAGGGCGGATCCTACCAAGGTCACCATGTAAAGGTCAATGACCAGGAGCACCTGCTCTCCGGCCTGCCGCCCAGCCCTGCCCCAGGTTTCCTGTCAGCACGCAAGGTGCGCCCACTCTGCCGGGCCTCGGCCCCCTGCTGACCACGCCCCTTGCCCCCGCAGGCCTGGATCCTGGACAAGCTCCATCCTCATCCCCTACCCTCCTGAAGCGGCCCGGGTCCTGCCACCAACAGCATCCTCCATCAGGCTGGTTCCCCAGCCCCCGCGGGTCCTGCTGGGCTGCTCCCTGCTTCCCAGTCCCTGTGCCAGGACAGGATTCTTTGTCCCACAGGGCAGAGGACCCCCAGTCCCCGAGCTGCCGGCCTCTGCCTCCACTCTTCCTCCTGCTCATCACATGGGAGGGGAGTGACCCATGTGCCCCACGACTGTTCCCATTGACATTTCCTATACCTGTGTGTATGTGTGTGTGTGTGTGTGTGTGTGTGTGTGTGTAAGAGAGAGAGAGAGAGCACACATGGATGTGGGTCCATTGTGTGTGCAAAGAATATCCAGGGAGGTGTTTTGGGGGCGGAGATGTCAATCAGCAACAGACACCCAGTCCCCAGACAGGCTCAGACAGGGAGTTGGAGGGACCAGGGAGGTGGCCCCGTTGCTGGAGGTGAGGCCTGAGCCAAGGCTTCAGGCATAGGCAAGTAGAGGAGCAGAGAGTGACAGAGTGTCGGTGGAGGACCAGAAAGCAGGGACCTCAGCGCAGGCTCAGGGCAGCACCCACAGAGCACAGCGGGGACCAGGAATCGGACCTGGGCATGGACCAGAGCCTGGTGCCCTCTCCTGTGACCCCACTGAGACCCAGGACCACACACCTGCAGGGCGCTGTTCAGGCTGCAGAGTCCCCAGGGGAAGTGGGGAGAAGAACCCGGGAGGATTGACCCAGGGCCGGGCCCTTCCAGCAGGCGAGGGGCAGAGGGGAGAAAGGTGCAGGGGGCAGCAGGGGGCCCGGTGACGCCCTCCAGGACCTCAGGCTGAGTTAGTAAAAGGAGAGGAGGCGGCTGAGGAACGGCAGATGGAGGAGGAGCCAGGGCCACCATGCAGAGCCCCAGCCCCTCAGCCACCTGCAAGGAGCGTCACCAAACCTGCTGCAGAGGTGGCCCGGAAGAGCCACACAGCTCTTCACTCCCACAAAGTCACGGAAAGGGTCATTTAAAGGATAGAAGGTCGTGGACACAGGAGGTGGCTGTTCAAGGGTTGACGCTGCACCAGTTTTGAGCATTCAGGGCCCAGGTGTGGCACATGGTGGCCAACGTGAAGATGTTCAGGAACCGAGAGGCCAGGTGCTGGACAGGCTGTCTGCATGGCCATCTGAGACCTGCAGGATGGTGGCAGAACAGAGGGTGACGCAGTCCCATGAAATCCCCCTACCTGCTCCTCTGTCCTCCCTCCTTCCCTCCCTCTTTCCTCCCTTCCCCCTTTTCTTCCTCCCTCTCTCTCTTCTTTTTTGCTCTCTTCCATTCCCTTTCAATAAATCAACGTTCCCTGAGCACCGAGGCTCCAGCCCAAGCCAGATCAACGAGCCCCAGTCCTTGAAGCACTTACCTTCTGGTGGGAGACACGACAAAAAGCAAACGAATAAAATGATTGCAGTTAGCCATCCACCCATGAGGAAAATAAACAGACTGACACGGAGGAGAGAGGTCCAAAGCCCCGGGAGACTCTCCTGCTCTGAATCCAACTGGCGGGAAGGAGCCAGACCTGAAAGGACCCGGGGGGGGGGGGGGGGTGCCGGAATGGCAGGAGAGGGCCCAGAGAGGCCAGCTCGCCTGGAGGTGCAGCTGGAGGGGAGCATGGGAATGAAGTCCAGGACTGGAATCTACTGCAGCCGCACTGGGAATCCACCAGAAGCTTTGGTTGGCGAGGGAAAAGCAGACTTGATTCCCACCCATGAATCAAGAGCCCCACCCTGACTGCTGCTGCGTGGGGCTGGACGGCAGGGGCCAGGGGAGGAAGCAGAGCTGGCAGTGGGGCCTCTGGTGAGGCCCTGGGGAGAGAGGCTGGTGGCCAGGACAAGGGGCAGGGAAGTGGAAGAAAGTGGGGTCAAATTTGAAAGGTATATGACCAAAGAAGCTGGCAGTTCCAACCCTCCCTGTGTGCCCTGCACGTACCTCTTCAGGGTTCATTCGGTTGTATTTAGTGAGCACATACAGTGAACCCGAGGCGGCTGGGGATACATCAGTAAACCAAAGAGACAACTTCCTGTCCTCAGGGGGCTTCCATTCTAGAGGGACAGAATGAGACGAGAGGCACTTAGAAGTGAAGATGGTAAGTGCTAAGGGGGAAGCCAACAGGGACGGGGAGTGGGAGCAGGAGGGTCGTGGTTTTAGACCAGATGGTTGGCAAAGGCCTTGCAGAGATGGTGACATGAAGCAAAGCTCTGGATCAGCTGAGGGACCCAAACATGTTGACATCTGGGGACGAGCACTCCAGGTAGAGGGAACAGCACAGGTGCAAAGTCCCTGAGGCAGGAGACAGCCTGGCATGTTTAGGGAATGGAGTCCCGGGTGTTCGGAACAGAGTGAACAAGGGAGAGGATTGGAAATGAAGTCAGAGGGTGATGCCAGCACCCAGAATTCCACCACGAGACTCCAAGGCCCCTGCCATTTCACAGATGCAGCAGGAGGAGTGGAAGAGAGAAGCACTTGACCAGTGGTCAGGTGGCAGTACACCTCAGAGTCGGGACTGAAGCCCAGGATGGTTCCCCAATCAGTGCACTCAATAAGCATATGCTACTGCCATCACAAACAGGAAGGGACAAGATGAGGCGTGGCCCCCTGGCCACCCAGCACAGCCCAGTATCAGCCAAGTGCTATTGTTCCAGTACTGCTCCATTTTACAGAGACAGAGCCCAAGTCTGTTACCTGAGTCCTGGCCTCAAATGCAGCTCTGCCCAACTCCGGCGCCTGCCCCTGCACCAGGCCACCACAGGAGCTGATCTGTGTCTGGATGAGGGGGGTACTCAGTCCAGGAGCGGGGGGTGAGCGGGAACAGTGAGGCACAGACCTCTCGTGCTGGGATACGGCCTGGGAGTCCATCCACCCATCTGTCCATCAGTCCGTCTTTCCACCCACTAACAAGTCTGTTTCCCTCTGTGCTGGGAATCCTCCCACAGGCCCTGCAGAGAAAGGGGCTGGTGCTAGTACTGACCCCTTGGGTCATCTCCCTGCCCCATTCCACACTCCAGAACCAGTCAGGCAGCCTCACCCACCAGCTGCCCATCAGAATGACACATCCTGGGACATCTTGTCATTTCCCATCCCAGATTCCATTACGAGGTGCGATTGCTAAAGTAATAGACAGATAACGGATCTGCCCAAGCCCCGCCTGGCGCACCGGGCAGCTGCCGGGTTTTTCCCATTAGCCACAGGGCTTGACGGACAGTAATGGATTTCATACTGATGCCGGAGCCTGCGGTGGATAATTCCATGATAACGGTTTATCAGGCACTGACGGGAGTAATGGGTAATCACCAGGCAGAAAGCAAACCCGTCAGGGAGCCTTGGCCTCCGCCCAGCCTGGCCGGGCCTCTGTTGTGCCAACTGCCACCTTTCCAGCTCACAGGGCCAACTCCCGTCTGTGTTAGGAAGGACGGCAGAGCAGCCAGTCCGTGGGCACACGTGTGTCTGCGCCAAGCCTTGCGGGGTCCTCAGTGACCGTTCGCAGAGATGAGCAGACGCCGCATCCTCCGGCGAGCCCCGGCCACCTTCCTGTGTTCCTGGACTCTCACCCCTGGGACTTGCAGCCAAATTGGGAGAAGGGGTGGGAGTTTCCAGAGTGGCCTCATGAATAATTCGAGGGTCTTACTTGGTGCAAAACCCCTGTTGGGTTTACAGATTTTGATTGCTAGAATGATGGAAGTTTCCAGATTTCCAAGACCAGGTCTAGGACCCCAGATCTGGCACAGGTACCAGCCACAGACAGGAGGGTCTCTACTGAGGACCAGAGGAAGGGTCTGAGGAAATGAGGGGCCTGGGCCTTGATCCGCACACCCTTCCAGGAAGGAGTTATTACTGTCTTCACACCAGGGCAGGAGGCAGGTGATCTGCCTGCAGTCAGACAGCTAAAAGGTGGTCCAGGACTCCAGCCCAGGTGCTCTGGCTCCAGAGCCTGGGATCTGACCAGGACCCTGGGCTACTGCTTGCAGTTGGCAGTGACCTGAGGCCAAACACACCCTGACCAACCGTGGATCCTGGTTCGGTTCCAATGGAGCCATATGGGTAGGTCTGGGCTGGAGCTGGCTCCTGTGGCCCCCGAACAGGCCACGCACACCCCTGGCCAGCTCTGCATTCTTCAATGTCAGGTGAGCAGCTTTTAATCAGCCACGTGGGCATGTTTACCGAATCAGCGAACACCACAAATCAGGCTTTTATCCCCCTCTGCAGAGCTGGTTGTTAAATGTTTGCTAACACACCACTGGGTCTGGGGTTAGGGGATGACAGATGTCTGAGCGGGGTCTGTAAGCACAGGGAGGAAGGAGCAGGTCAACTTAGGACCTGAGCCCAGTCAGGAGTCTATTCATCTTGGCGTAAGCTGAGATTCCGTTCACTCGTTCCTTCAATCATGCATCCAACACACATTAGCTTAGCACAAAAATGGGCAATTGAGAAAACACAGACCAGGTGCCAGGAGAGCCCCAGATGTGGGAAGGAGCAGAACAGAGTGGCTGGGGAGCAGCATTTCTGGCAGAAAGAGGAAAGATCTCTTTGAAATGTAAACCTGAGCCAGTGCCATAGCTCACGCCTGTGATCCCAGCAACTGGGGAGGCTGAAGCAGGAGGATCGTGAGTTCAAAGCCAGCCTCAGCAACTCAGCAAGGCTTCAGGCAACTTAGTGAGACCCTGTCTCTAAATAAAATATAAAAAATGGGGCTAGGGAGGTGGCTCAGTGGTCAAGGGCCCCAGAGTTCAATCCCCAGTACCAAAAAAAGCTCCTAAATGATCGGGCTCTTTCCTCACTTGGGCTCTGTGAGGAGGCACTGAGGGGCTTCAGTCAAGGCTGAGGGCAGCAGGTCAAGGACGCCCCACCTGGGCTCCATCCTTGCCTTGGCCTCCCCTTGGGGGCACTGAGTGTTGTGCCCCCTCACT